GGCAGCTGCAGGAGCAGTGTAGGGAGCTCCAGCCAGGAGGCTGACGCCAAAGCAGCGAAAGCACACGTGAAAATAAATAGCTCATCCAAGTTCTCTTTATAAATGGATGTGGCCTGCTGGGAAAATCAGAAGGGAAACGGTGAGAATTGCTGCCATGCCATTACTGTGGAGGGATATTCAGAGATGCAATGATGCCAAATTTCTGCTTCCAAGAAACAGGGCAGTGTGGTGTACAGAAATAAATAACCCCTGGAGCAGTCAGTGCCTCACCTCTGCAGTTCTGCATGGAAAGCAAGTTATCAAATATGCTTGTCTGTCATGAAACTTTCATCTGCTAAAAGAAGGATTGATTAAAGAGTGACAGATTGAAACCAGCTGCTTAAAACTAAGTCAGCCAAGGAGACCACTGTTCATCCCCTCCCAGTTTTGTGACACTGTTAAGTGCTGGAGAAGCCTCTGGTATAACAAACTGTCCCAGCAACTGGGGAAATTATGGCAATCTCCAAGTGATGTCAGGTTAGTTGGAGGCTTGATGAGCATCTTTGAAGGAGCTGTGTGTTGGAATCCATCCCTGGATACCATTCCCCTCACACCCACCACCGTGTTCCTTAAACGAGAGTTTCCCCCAGGGAAAACAATACCAGAGCAGTACAAGCCAGAATTTGTACAGGTGGAGTCCTGCACACTCAGAGTCAGGAGGTTTACACCATTTCTGTCAAAAAACCAGCCTTTCAATGCACTGCAAAAGGACCAGAATGAGGGCAAGGAACCAACCCCCACATCCAGAGGATCCACTCACCAGGGGGAACAAACCATTTTTCCTTTCCCATTGTATCCCAGGACTTCTTAAAATGAAATACACAACTAATCTACTGCCTCTCCTTTACTATATTGTCTGAATAGGCTTAAACATCATAAATACAAATTACAAGCTCCAAATTACATGGCTGAAGGGGAAGAAAGAGAAAAAAAAACAGAGAATGTAATTCTTATACTGATACAGCTAGCATAGCAGCACTGGCCATGGTTTATTTTTTGGACAAAATTCCTGGGTTTAGATGAATTATCTGTTGACAAGGTCTTAAAGATTGTGTGGTCAAATGTATCAATGGACCAAAAACGGGATCAAAAGATTCCCATGGAGATCAAAATTAAGTAGGATTAAATGTAAGCCAAGACTTGTAGCTTTTAGTGGAAACATATAAGATGGGGAAGTCAAAGGATGTGAAGGGAATGATAAAAAACCACCTAGGATATCAGTGTGAATTGCGGAGCCATGTCCCCTACATTCCTATAAAAATTCAATCTATAACTCATTGCCTATCTCATATAGATATATAAAATTAGAGTCATCCAGTCATCCTGGCTATTCCTGTAATTTCAACCATGCCAGATCAGAGATTACAACATCAGAAACACCTCCAGCTGAGGTACCTATCAAAAAATCCTGTCATTTCAACCAATTCCTCTTATATATGAAAGCCAAGTATAAATTTTCCTTCACAAATACAAACATACATTCCCATTTGGGATGCTGCACTTCCCTCTCCCCCCCCAGCCCTCCTCTGGACTGTTCCACATTCTCAGGAATTCCTGCTTGGCCTTGCCCTCTGTGTGATGAGTTGGAGGGTGAAGTGTCCCTTGGTCATCCCAGGCACCCTTGCATGGCTAAGGTGGGAGCAGCACTGACCGTGTAGGGTATGGGATGACAGTAGGAATATCCAGTCATTCCCTTGGAACATTCCTTACCTGAACCAGAGCCTGAGTGGAAGGATACCACTGCTACTGGAATTTTCAAAATTCCAGTAATTACCAACCTGGATCGTGCCCAGGATGGAAATTTAGATACCCTACACCAGGCACAGTCTGAATGTTGCCATCTTAGATCTATAACTGACTCCTGCAGTTGTAATAAATTCTACTGACTCCCTTTGTAAATGTTAAATTAGTCAGTGATTAAGTGCTGCCAAAATCTTGTGATCCACCTTAAAACTGTGAATAAACCTCAGACTGCTGATGCTTCAGAAGCCGTGTAAAAATTCCATCTGTGCTGAATTGCTACTTTTACAACATCATATTAAGATCACCGTTTGCTGACATGTTGGATGGTGGTTCTTTAGGTGATCCTGATTAATTTCATGTGTAATCCTTAGCATATAAAGCATTGATCAAGTATGAGATTAAGATGAGACCTAGCTGCTCCTAAATTCTATCAGGAGTTTAGCAAGCAAGGCGAGGTCTACTCTCAACCTCATGATTCAACAGAAGGGTCCCCCTTGCACTTTTGCATTTTTGATCTCTGTGTAAATAATTTTGTCTCGATTCTAACTCTGTTTTCCTTTGGATGTTCCATCCATGTAGTAACAGAGTGAATCTTGATGTTGAACTTTGTTAGATCTCACTTTAGAAATTCATAATAAACATACTTTTGTTAATAGTTTTGATGGTGGTTCTTTAACAACCTAAGCCACTCACTGACAACCCCATCAAGCTCAAAAACTGAACCCAAGAAATCATGAAGGTGTCACCCAGGGATTTTCAAGGAAACAATGCCCAAAATAGAGAGTGAGTTGTGTTGCCTTCCAACTCTGAAAAAAATATTTCTTGGTTTAAATCATTTCAGACTGAATTTACAATGTCATTCACTCAGCAATTCAGTGAAATTACACATGCATTAAATTCTCAAAAGCATTTTATGCCATCTGTTTGAGATAGTTAGAGTGAACATATTTGGGGGGTGAAATTAGTAATTATAAGAGGAGGAAATTACCATATTGGACTAATTAACAGCATCTTCTGGAAAAGAAACAGGGAAAATAACCAATTACAAAACTTAATGTTTACTGTTCTCCCAGCTAAATAAAGACTGTTCAATATGGCTCTCCTTGGGTTTCTTTACTTGATTTTTTTTTCCCCCCTTCTAAAATATGCTATCTGCACTGTGTTAAGGAACATGAGCCAGAGAAAAGACTCAGACATTGCAGGCCCTGTGGTCTGCTCCCATCCATCCACGCTGCTGAATGGGGCAATGGCCACACACCAAAGTGACACATCCTTGTCGCTGTGAGGGCTCAAAATGCAGGATTCACACAGCTCACCTCATTTCGGACACTGAAAGATTAAAGCAGACTTAGTCACGGGAGCTCGTTATCCTTGGATCCCACTGAAGAAAAAAACATTTAATTTCTGCTCCATTTTAGGTGCCAGTTAAGCCTGAAATCATGCTTTGGACTTTTAACTGTGGCAACTAGAACTTGACTGAGTAGAGAGAGGAGATCACCATATGGCAGAGCTCCAGTTTTGATGAGATGTCTCATAGCTGAACAGTCCAGGCTGTTGGGAAGATCCAGTTGTCATGGAACACAAAAAGAACACGTGGTGGATAGAAGAGCCATGTTCCTGTTGATGATCCACCACACTGAGAGAAGAACGTTTACCTGTGCTAAGCAAAAAAAAATGAGTTTTTGTTTCCAGTATGTCCCAAAGTTCACCTCATGCTTATGCCTGAGTCTGAGATTATGTCCAGCTGGTCTGACCATTGGGTTTTACAATATTTATATACTATATGTGTAACCCCATTCTCAGAGCAGAGTACAGATCACAGGGTTTTGAAGCACCAGGGGAAGGTATGTTCTAGAAAAGCTGCAGGTTGGACTGTCTCAAAAAAAAAATTGGATAGTCCCTATATAAAAATCAAGTTTCATTAATTTCAGAGCGTTGCTTTACCTCTGATCACTGGCACTTTACAATGATAGTGGAATAGAAGAGAGGCTTCTGTGGCTTCTCTCTTCCCTTTTGCTATTAAAAATGCTATTCTTGTAACCACACTCTGCCTGAAAAGATATCCTGTGTTTATGCATCATTTACACAACCCAGAAAATTACTTTTTGTCAACAGTTGAGAAATAAATTGTTTGCTGACTTCTAAGGCAGCCTGATGTGCAATTTGTTCTTTCTGCAATAGAAGCTCTGCACAAGGAAAAATAAATTATGAATAAGGGGCAAGTTCTACAGAAATGTTTACAAAAACATTCAAAAGGCGAAGAACACCTGAAAGAAAGGTTCAAACACAGAACCTCATCTATCTCCCTTTTGTTTCCAGCTACATTAAAATTTATATAAACAAATATGCTTCATGAGGCAGAATTGCCCCCAGGAACTCAACGGCACAAGAGCTTTGGCCAGATTCATAAGGCAGGTCAACACACCCATTTATATGTAAATGAAGAGGCAGTCAAGCACAACTTTCACACTCCAGTCTGATCAGCTTGTCTAGATCAGCTTATTGTCCTTAAGGAAATTATACAATCAGAGTAAACCACTGTTGATCTGGTATATCATACAGAAAGATTTTGTTTCTTCCCTGAGCCTCATTTCCTCTGTCATTTCTCAGGGCTGGAGAAGTGACAGAGTGATAACACCTAGATTATTTTTAGACTCCTCCCTCCATGAAGATTTACCAGAGGGAAAGAGGAGTGAAGGGGAAAGAAAAAAACAAATTCACAACTTTTCTCCCAGTAGCATCACTCATTGCAGCACAGCCACCCTCCCCAAATCATGATGCAGAGGAGTGGCTCTGAGTGTGCTCCTCCCACTTGTGAAGCAAATCAGGGTCCAGTTTCACATCTCTTGCAGCATCATTTCTCTGCTGTATGAGGTGTGTATTTTGGTGTACCTCAGCCAAGAGTCACGTGCTTTGCCCTGCTTTCAAAAACTGGTCTGGATACAGACACTTCAATTGTTCTGACCTTCAACTATCCCATCAGTCAGCTAATTCAACAGATTAAATTACGAGAAAGGGCTGTCATTGTGAGTTCCCTTGAGTGTGTAAAATTCCCAGCTTCCTTTCCGCGTCACACCACTGTTCATTGTCGCCAGTGAACACCCAAGACTGGAGGCACTATGTTTATCCCAGCAGGAAAGGATGTTCCTGGAGCAAGGACACTTTGAAAACAGATCCTCCAGTAACAAGAAGCCAACAAGAAACGGAGAAATAAATACCTGTGACATTGGTGCGGGCTGACAAAGCCTCACAGTACTTTTCCAGCAGAACAGACAAGGGTAGGTTCACAGAAGATTCACAGTGGAGAACTATCTGGATGAAGAGACAGAAAGAAACCAAACATTAAATAAGAAGCAGAGAACAGATTTTCTGATCCATGAGTACAACGATGCCCAGCACTTTCGTAGCAGCTCCACTGGGTCAGGTACGACATCCCATCACGACAGAGAAGGTTTGGGGGTTATACTTTCTTAGCTCCAGGACATCACATGGAATTCATCTGACTAGATGTAGGTGTCTACAAATGAACCACCTATTCTGGACCTCTCCTTGTGGGAGCTGCTCAACACCATTAACAAAGCACAGGATCCAATTTTTGTCTCACCTCAAAGCAGATGCCCGAAAGAGTGAAGATGAATCACCTCCCATCAAAGATCACGTGTAGATTTTTTTTCAGCTAACTTTTAAAGGCTACATAGGTGCTAAAGATCCTTCCACAACCAAGAGATAAAGCAACTAGAAAAGGGCAGTTCAGAGGGCTTGAGGAAAAGTGGTTGCATGGAATAAATAGGACAAACAGGCATCCCTATAAGGTGGTTCTTGGTTCTTTTGAGACAGGGAAATAGACACGAGTTTCTGACTCTCAGAATTCAGAGTGCTGAGCCCCCCACTGAGGGCAAATGCTAGTGAGAAAGAACAGCAATTTCAACAAGGGCACCTCAAGAAAGCTGCAGGTTCAGTACAGGATAATAGTACATCCCCAAGTAAATTTTAGGAAATTTTTATGTAGAGTTGAAATCAAGAGGTATATCGTAATTTTCACTCTCAAAATTAAATTACTGAAGTGCCCAGTGCAGACAGAGGAGAGAAGCCTCCAGAACTGTACATCTCAACACTGAGCTGAGTTGGGATCCTGCTCAGAGGAAGAGAAAGGCAGGAACTAAATGTGGCAAAATAATTCAGGAGTGAGACATCAGTGACAGAAACTTCCATTTTCAGAATATGAAACACAACCTTCCTGACTGTTTCTGAGGGGATATAAAGCTGTGGTAAAACACAAAAAAATGCCTTTGCTTTCTGTTTACGCACAATGACTCCAGCACAACACAGGCGGCTTTTATTCAGGGAAACGACCCTACTCCTTCAGAGTTGATGTTACATTTCAGTGCTCTGAGATGTGTTAAGTGATTGCAGAACCCTTTTCATGTCACTGAATTCCTTGTCACTTTAACAGGAAGGGGGGTCATGACAATAGAATCCATCAGCAACGTTGGTCTCTAAAGAACAACTGTTCTCTGAACGACACTATTTCTACCTATTTCTCACTTTGCTGTCATTTTACAAAATAGGAAGCCTTGACATACCAACAAAAAGCCCTTCTCAGGCTTCATTCTTTTCACATGAACACCATGAAGCTGCTGCTTCTCTTTCAGGGAGAGTCAAATCCCGCTTCCCATAGCGCAGCCTCCCAGGGTGCTGACCATGCATGGCCACGTAAAGGAGATGGAGGAAGGCTCCTCTGCATCGGGCACAGATTCCATCCTAAAAGCACAGAGCTCCAGCCCAGCCTGCCAGAAGGCAAGCTCTGTAGTGGTCATGCCTCATGTCAGACCCAGACAAGTGAGCTGACACAGCAGAGGCACCTCCTCCCTTCCAACCTCACGGGCCAAAGCGCTGTCTGACTTCAAAGAAGAAACTCGAGACATCTCCATGTACTGTAAATACACCGCGTGTCCAGCTGTCTCCTCCCCAAGATGATGGGAAAGAACAGACAGAGGTCAGGCACAGCACAGCATGGGGAGGAGGAACAAGAAAGGTTAAATGTCACATTCGCTTCAGGGTCAGCTTAGGTTAATTTAGCTGGAGGGAAAAGTGCCTTCCACGTATTATGTTACTTTTGGTTTCATTTTCTCCCCTGTAGCCACAGCGAAGTGCCTTGTTGTGTGTGAAACTTTTTTTTTTTTTTAATTATATTTAAAGCAGATGAGCCCCAAAAGACTAAAAATCCCTCTTAAAACATAAAAAGAATAAAGAACCGGGAGAAAAAATCTGAAATAACGAATGGGGGGGAAAAAAAAAGAGAAACATTTCACTGATGCAGGACAAATAATTGGGCCTGTGACTGTGTATCTATTTTGAAATTATACTTTGAAATACTGAAATAATTGCTTTACTAATGCACTACTCTACTTAAACAGCATTTCTCCTATGACAGCTATTCCAAGACCTTTTCCCACCAAATCCATTCTGTGTTGTCTTGCACAATTACCTTAAACATGCACAGAAATTTTCAGCTTAATTTCTCGGAGCCGCTGTGGACTTTTATGAACAAAAATAACGTGCAGAGCTGAAGACTGAGGTGGAAACAAGTCCTCTATTTTCCAAAACAGAGGCACCGACTAACAGTCTGCAGGCCAGCTCTCGGTCTACATGACAATATATGAAGCCTTTGGTCACTTCCCATTCACATCTGAGAGGACTTTCAGAAGAGGAGTGGATGAATTGTCCTGGTGTGTCACTGCCTCTCTCGTGGTCATTTCCTTAGGTAGGCCCAGAGCAAACCCATGACGCCCACCGTAAAATCACCTCTAGAGGATGGAAGGGCAGATGAAAACAGCAACAGCGTAAGAGAGAGCAACATCTTGCTATGGTTTGTTGTTAGAAGTAACAGGACACTCACAGTGTGCACTCCGCCATCAAATGAGGGGCTTCAATCTTGAAAACATTTATTTATGCAGAATTCATTCTTTGACACGCAAGTCCTCTCACAGATTACTAGCATGGAGTCATAAAAACACACGTGGAACATTAGATATGTAACAGGCCCCAGTGGATCTGTACAGTGAGCTCTGGGCATAGACAAATATCTGACCTGTCCCAGTGTTGCCTCCTCACAGTTTCTACCAGAATTTGTGGTTATTCCATGCAGAGTATAGGGATCTGGCAATTTCATTTTGAAAAGAATTAACAGAGAGTCCTGGTTTGAAATATTACTGAGTTCCACTACGTTGCAATTTAGAGATATAAAAGATATATATACAGTGCTGCTGTAAAATTCACCTGCATGGGAGAGGTTGTTTTCTTCTCTCAAACGTGTAAGAAATGACTGCAATAATATAAATAAAGCCCCAGTGCTATGGACAGGATCCAAAAATGTCAGTATAGGAATGGAGCTACCACAGACACACAATGGAGGATCTTGTAAGCTTAAATATCTAACAATAAATAGCAGCACAGTGGATGAAGTCAGGATGACTGAAAGCTGAAGGAAAGAACTCAAGTGGAAAAGGATGACACACGACATTCCTTGCCAAGATGGAGGTAAGCTCAGACACAGCGAATGCTGCCAAACATGGACAGATGCAGATGCTCCACTTTCCCATTCTCACACAAGAATTCCCAGATACCATAATCCGGTTGCCTCATAAAAGCCAGTTGTTAGGCCTCCTTGTGAGACATCTGCTGGTGGCCTGCTGAGCAAAAGCAGAGGTGTTGACATCTGAGACAGCCTCAAAGTAACAGAGAGCAAAAACTCTCCCTTAAAAAAAAAAAAAAATTGTTTCTAGTATTTATAAGGTCCCAGAGAAATCCATCCCACAGAACATCATCTGTGATACAGCAGCATCTCATCAGAAAGCCACTCACAGAAAAGCAGTGGGATTTGTATTAAACAGCTCAGACTTCAAAACAGAGATAGCAACAGCTGAGCTGATTACCCAGGATTTCCTTTGCAGAGCAGGAGAAGAAGCAGAATATTTTTCAGATGCAATTCATCTTTCGTATTTTAAATCTTTAAGCTGAAATTTCTTCCACTGACTGCATCAGCTGGGTCTTCCCCACTAGAAGGACAGAGTCACGTGGGAGAATCTTTCCTAAATTTTCTTTAGACACTCCATGCAAAAAGAGAGGTAAAAACATTCTCAGAGGTGATGGCTGCAGGAGACAGGAACACATCCCCATCTTACAAAATTATCTGGGGCATTACTGTTGTCTTTCTTTTACTGAGCAAGGTGAAGCGACCTCCCATCATCAAACAATTTTGTACTTATCAACTACAAAACCTGTGCTCAGTCCACAGTTGACAAGAGAAGGACCCATCTCATGGCCCTGTGGCCACACAGAAGCAAAGGTTCAGTCTAAACTATCCACCTGTGCTCTTTATAAAGCCAAAACCACTTTCTCTTTCTGAGTAGACACCTCTGGTAATGGCATGGATCATGCTTGGAGTGTGTTTATTCCTACCCTTCATCCCTGTGAAGCAGCACAGCTTAAAGAAATACCAACTTTTACTCAATTTTTAGTTCTTCAGTTTAATAAATACTACCTGTATTTTAGTTTTTCAATTTAATAAATAATACCTGCATATAATTTTTAGTTCTTCAATTAGACAATGCAAAAAACCTCATTTGAGAGACACTCCTGGCTCAAAGGTAACCTTATCAAGTTAAGCTCTCCAAATGCACCATCCCTACAATGAGATCCAGTGCTCACCTCAATGTTTGGGCAAGATGTTCTCAGGGCAGAGCTCCAATCCAGCACAAATATTGTTAATCTGTACTCACAGAAGTTAATTTCAGGGAAACACAGGCATTTAACTTCACAAAGAAAATGTAATTAGTGAAAGAGCTCAATGCAACAAAATCAAAGTGAATCCCACACTTCCATGACAAAACCCTTACTCCATTTGAATACAGGTGGGGAGTTTCCAGGACAGGTGGGCAGCTGGTAACTTCTACAGGGGATCCTGCCATCACCAGTATTGTGGATGAAAACAGATGCTTTGGGAAAAAACACCAGTTATTCCATGGAATACTCTCATAAGAAATGCCAATGTTTATCTGAGCAGCTCTTTTCCTCCAAGAGATGGCAACGTGTGGGAGAAAACGAGGACAGCTGGAATATTTTCTGACTATTAATCACCTGAAGGAACATGCACAACCAGGGAGAGTGAAAAATGCCAATTCAGGAGAAAACCAGAGATTAGCACAAGAGAGGAGGGGGAATTCATCTTTACTGTTCCCAGGATGGATTTATATTCACTGGTGTTTGCTTATTTCATACACAGGCTGTACATAAAAGAGGTGTTTATTCAA